ATTCTCCTCTTGTCACTGCAGCTTGCTCCGCGGAGAGCCAGGGAATTGGCAAGAGAGTCTGTGAGGATGAAAGACTTTGAGAGCAGACCAGCATCTTTCATATATCTTTCTTCCAGAAGGAATGTGGACAAGCCTAGGGAAGCTGGATTTGTGTAAATTAGCCCCATCCCACTCCCTGTAGGCCATTTTATTTTAAAATCTATTCGACAGTCAATGTCATTAGCTCAACAGATGGCTTGTTAATCTTTAGACCAAGAGCCAGATTTTAAATTGCCTTCCATTTTGCAAACTCTTCTCAGAAGAAAAAAGTAAATGAAACATAAAAGAAAAAAAAAAAAGAATTTCAGTCCAACCCCAGGGAGACCCACAATGTATTCATTTCAGGTCTAGCTTTTAAGGTCAGCTTCAGCAAATTTTTGTCAGTTGGATGCTCATATATCTATAGGCAAAGAAAGTAAATGCATTGATTCTTTTTTGAAAATAGTGAGCAAAATGCAGAACATTTGTCAGCCAAAAAAAGAGCATAACTCTCAAACATGATTAACTCAAGCATGATCAGATCAAAACTTGCCATTAGTGACAAGCATGCATGTTTTCTCTGAACTTGGGGACAGCCTTGAAAATACATCTAATAATTTCCCTGGAAATCCCAAAGCTCGGCCATCTCTAGATGAGATTATGTAAAGATTTTGTTTTCAGTGATCTCACTACCTCTTTTCCTGATGCTTTCAGGACCCAATTCCCCACCATGTTACCCCAATGTACACATGGACACGTGCGCGCACACACACACACACACACACACTTCTTAAACAATTCACACTAGCTTCTGGTTCTTTTAATATTAAATAAATCAGAGCCATAAAATAAGGGTGGGTTTTCTTTTACTATCTCCAACCCATGATACGGTTGGACCCTATGTGCATCTTGTAGGCCTCAAGACTGTAATTTTTCTGAGTTGGCAGGAAAAAGTGTTAGACCTTAAGGAGCGCCCCCTGCCAGATCCACGTGGCCCACTAATTCATTTGGTGCATCTGGGGCCATCCATACAAGTGTGGGCAAATGTGGGATGAAGAATTCAGGTCTTCCTCTTCCCTAAATCCTGATTCACCTATTTGGATTTGGAAAAGGGTTGGGGAGGGCATTTACAAATGTGTGGCCAATGAGTTTGCCTTTGGTCTGCTTTTTCTGGGTCAGACCAGCCAACGTGAAGAATCAGTGACATCACTTTGGGAAGAGAGAAGAAGATCAGACAGAGGCACGGGCTCCCCTCCTGCTGGCAGGGCTGCACTTGACCACTAGGAGTTTATGCGGCTACTCAAGGAAATACATGCTAATCAACCCTCCCTCCCCAGGAAGCTGCCCCAGATCATTTTCTCCATCTCTCCCCAGAGAAGCCAGATCCTGCCTAGTGTTGAGCATGTTATCTGGGGGCTGTTTGTGAAAGGAAAACAGATGATCTCATCCTATCTTGAGGGAGCAAGCAGCTTTTTAGAATCACAGATATTCTTCATGACAACTCTCTGACAATGTAAGAACCTCAAGTGCCTTCTGAATCCTCAGAGAAACTGCTGCTGAGAGCCGGGACATTTTCATGGTATCTATATTCTTACTTTGTTCTGTTTCTTTGAAGACTGGGGGACAGGGCATTGGGAGAGGCAGCTGGTGTCCTGTGAAGGACACTGGATGGGGAATATGGGCACATGCGTGCTAGTGCCCACGGCTGAAGGGTTTCCATTTCAGCGGGTGAGAGCATTTCTAGGACTCTTCCAGACCCGAGATTCTAGGATTTTGCCTATTTCTAGTAACCTGAACATTTCATTAGGCAGAATTTTCCATTCTCTAGCTGTGCCAGATAGAGGAGAGAACTTACTGAATGAATTGGAAGTCTCGAGCCAGTGAGGAAAACCTACCCACATCTCAGACTGCCTTCTGCTTGTTGATGTCAGAACAAGAATTATTGTGGGTAATCATTGAAGGACGTAAAAAAGAACAACGCGTACCTGGCAGAATTGGTCTATCAGTGCGTTGCAACTTGCCAAAGTGTTCTTGAAAGTTACATCTTCCATTACATAACTTTTTATCACTTTCTTAAAAAATGTTCCAGTTGGGCTGGCATGTTTTATGATTTGCCTTGCTTCAGAGATAAGCACATTGTCAATGATTAGACGAAACTTCCCAGGTATTTTTGAACTGAAAAGTTTGAGGTTGGCAGAGGGACGCCAAAGGAGGGGGTTGAGCAGAGAAGCTGGTATTTAAAATATTTAAAAGGCAAGATGGTATGCATGCGCCTCAGATAATAAGATGATAGTGAATTTCAAAAACCTTACAGTCCTAAAATAGGTAGCTTTCCATGTATATAAATATGTACAAGGGTTCAGAAACTTAAGGAGCATACTGGGATCGAAACCGAAGCAGGCATTTTGGGGCTTTTTCTGTTCAGCCAGCTGTGGGCCTCAGGAAGCCACTCCTTAGCATCGTGTGCTATCGGTCCAGTAGGCTGGAACATCCTTACAAGCTGATGGGAAGTGTATTTCCTTCCAGTCCTGGTCATGAAGGGCCCTTATAGCCTGTTATTGGTTTGTTTGTTTGTTTGTTTGTTTGTTTAAAGAATTAATTTTCTCCTCCAGTGGCTTAACCACTCCAATTCATGGCAACCTAACTTAAAGTTGTTTTTTTTTGAAACACTCGTACTTACAGCACTGTTAACTGAAAATCTACACACAGAATCCGGGCAGGGGAATGGTTATTAACCTAGGATGCACCTCTTACCTCTACGTATGTACAGAGTTACCAACCCAAAAGTGGAAATTTCACATTGCCACCTCTGAACCAGCAGGTGACTATCTTACAACACTCTTCAGAGATTTTTTTTTTATAGGTACTTTCACTTGACTAATGTAATTGGCCATTAGGAAAATAAACTCTTATTAGTATGAATATAAAGGTTATTTCAGAAGCAGCTGCCTGAAATGGATTATGTGATTTGTGAACGCTTTCCTAAAAAGAATGTGACTCACACACTCAAATAAACGTAATTGATTTTTTAAAGGGTTATCTTAGCAATGGATGGACTTTCCTATTCTTTAGGGGAATAAAAATTTGCATTCAGTTAGGCATCTCTCTGTGGTAGTACTTACAGAAATATATTAATGTTGTCCTCCAGGGGGCGTTAAATCTTTAGCAAAGCTCCAATTTCTCTGGCAGGCGTTCAAATCCAGTTAGCAAAAGCAGACAGTCTGGCTTCTTTCTCACTGGGATACAGAAGTGCTAGGGCCCATATTCTGAATTGCACATCTCAGACTTGCAGACAAGGCCTTACATTTTTTAGTAAAGCTAGGGTGGGTCTGCCAATCTCCTGGCCCTGGGGTATATGCAAATATAGCCTAGACACGTTGCTCTGAACACTCTACTGCAGGTCTGGGATTGGCCGACTCTCATGGTCCATGTCAGTAAACTTTTAAGAGACTATTGATATGGATGGGAACTGCTGTGCTTTCCAAGGGCAGAAATGTGATTCCTGGAGGCCCCAAAGACAACCTGGTGTGGGTTGGAGAAGGCTCTGTTGGTCAAAATTGCAAAGGACCCATCCTTCCTACTTAAGCCCCACAAAGGGCTATTTTTGTTGTTACTTTGTTAACGAGAACATCACTTAGGAAATCTGCAAACCTCTTGGTCTGGGGAACCAGCAACTTCAGCAGTAAAGTGTATGATTGTAAAGCAATACAGTACAGAGATTAAGAGGTTTCTAGGTTCTATAATTGACTGACAGGATTTCAATATCTGCTATACTTCTTATAAGGCTAGGATCTTGAATTAATTGCTGAAACTCCTGTGTCTCTGATCCCTCATTCACAAAAGACTATCTCATAGGGTAACTGGAAGGATTAATTAATACAACCCAAAGAAAGTATGTGGTGCATCCTGAGTGCTCCATAAATTCTATTAGTCATTCTTATTTGCAAGAATTGAGATCCTCCTGATATGGCTCCAGCTTTGTCTCTCATTACTCCCCTACATAGACTTCTTCATCCCAAATACCACCCTATACTTTTTACCTCTTTGCTCCCCCTGGTTCATCTATCTTCCTTGCCTATATCACTATCTGATGAGATCCCGCCCAAGTTCCAAGGGTTATCTGTAATGGCACCTCAAAACCAAATGCCCCCAACAATTCCCTACTCAAGAACTGAACGCGCTTTCTCCTATCTCTGAACAGTAGCAGAGATGCGATATCTTGATCTACAGGTATATACATTTGTCAAAACTTATGGAACTATACACTTAACATGGCCACATTTTTTTAGCATGTAAATCATACCTCTACAAACCAACCCAGTAGGAGCATTATAAGAAGGTCTCAGCCTTTGGAGAGAGAAAGCCGTACTTCAAATTCAAGTTCTAGTACTTTCTACCTGTTAGGCCTTTGAACTCCTTCCACCTGTAGTTTTCTCTAAATGGGGCAGTTGTCACGTTCTCCTTTTGTAGTGAGGGTTGAGAGACATAATAATACAAAATGCCTCCCACACAGTTGATGCTGCACTACTGTTAGAACTTCTTTTTCAGCATCACTAGTTCTGTGTTACTCACATACCCCTGCCCACCAAAAGGATCTTAAGGACTGAATGTGTGCTGTCCTTTTCTTTTCCATGTTTCTAGTATAGAGCAAAAGTTGTGTGTTTAGCTATTTATATATAAATATATATATTTATATAATATATATATCCAACTTTTGGATAGCAAACACCTAGCAGCATCCCAACTGAAGCCTCTGCAGGATGCCACACTGTGTATTATCACTCGGGTTTGCTAAGGCTCAGTATTTTAAAGTCTGACAGATACTTTCCTTGGTCAATAATTCAGCTACGGCTCCCCGGTGTGCAGTAGGGCTTAATAACACAACTTTAATTATGATAGTTCTTTAGGTTCATAAGGGTTGTCTATTTCTCTTGAAAGCAATGGAATGGGCATATTGTTTTCTGGACCAATAAGTCACTCTGTTTTCCATGGTTCAAAGTTAAGCTTTTATTTGGTTTTAAATTAAAAAAATAAATTTCGTTATTAAATAGTGAGATGGATCTAAGTTATGTTCAGATAGTAGCTTACTCAGGAATATACCACTAGGGGTACAAGTAAGGGGTGGGTCACCTAAACTAAAATGATTCGTTATGTCATCATGTTTGTTAAAAGTTCAACAGTGGCATAATTCAAAAGAAACGGAGATACAAAGTTTTAAATGTTTACAATGGATGGGAGAAGTAAACCACTTAATCTATTGCAATTGCCAACTAATTTCTTTCTCAGTGCCAGTCTGCTTGGACTCTATACCACAGTGCTAATGTCATCGGGCTCATCTGCTTTCTTCTGCCTGCTCGGCAGGGATTTCAAGTATTCAAGGTGTCTCCGGGCATCCTCCTGATTTTGCCTCACATAATACACCACATAGGAGATCACCATGGTGAACCAGCCAAACATGGTGACCAGCATGGCATAATCAGTAGTCTTTTTAGGGAGGTTACAAAGGTCAGCATCATTGGCAGCATTGAGGAATGGTCTCCCGGCGTGTTCATCCAACACAGAAGTCTTACAGATCACGTTGTGGGCTGTCTCATGGTTAGATGCCATGCTCCTCAGAACTTGCTGTAGAGTACAGTCACAGTGCCAAGGATTGTTGGCAATTCTGGCCCTGGCCTTCAGGTTATTGAAGGCATTTTTGTGCACGCTTTGAATCCGGTTGTCAGACAAGTCCAGAGTCTGCAAAGTTTCAGCTACTCCTTTGAAGGCATGCTCATCGATAAACTCAATGCCATTTTTGGACAAGTTGAGAACTCTCAGTTGATGGAGGTCCTTAAAAATCTCATTGGGGATAGATGTGATCTGATTGGAGTCCAGATACAATAAGACTGTTTCAGGAGGAAGATCTCTAGGTATTTCCTTGAGATTTGCATTGCTACAGGTGACATTTAAACCCCCAGAGGAAGAACAGAGACAGCCCTTGGGACACATACTGGCAGAATGAAAGCACAGTATCATAAGAACAAAACTTTGTAGGAGGAGACACATGGAGAGGGAACGGGTTAACCACAGGTCTACCAGATTCATGCTGGAATGTCAGCATAATCACAAGCCCATTCCTCATTCACTCCAACAAGCAAGCGTGGCAACCGTTCCAGCCCTGTCCACACTGTTGACTTCCTTCTTGCTTGGTTCAAAAGGTTGCAACTAACACACGTGTCTCTTCATTATTCCTGTCCTTACTTGGGTACCTAAAGGAAAGGGAAGCAGATGCAATTAGCTTTTTTGCAGAGGGAGGTACATTGCAATTAAAAGTGCTCTCAGGCGTCTAGCATTCTATGTGGGCGGGAGAGTTCGTTATGTATTTAATTTTCATCAATAGCACTGGGAGTTATCTGCATAATGGAAGTCTCCTGCTCAAATCCCAGGTGTTGGGCTAAAGGACTGTCAATAAACGACAACATTTCTGAATCATGTTGCCTTGGTTTTAGTTGTGCAGGATTACAGCAAACAGTCCAGATTTCTCTCATCTCTACTGGTTCTCTCACATCCTGAACCCCTTCTAAATTAGACAGCAATAAAATTTAATTAGACCTTCCCCCCTTCTACGGTAAAGGATGCATTAGTGCAATTTAGAACTGCTCTTGAGCAGCAATGAGAAATAACACCGATATTTCATGGTTAATGACCATAGATAGCAATAATTGTCATGGCTTTTGAATGGATGTCCAACTGGAATATTTTCTCTAAAGAAACATCTTACTTGAATTAAGAAATGAATAAATGTATTCCAACTTTCACAACAGAATGTTGCTAGGGACTGATAGACCAGGATCTCCAAAGAGCTGTCTCCCTGTTTTTCTCTGTTTTCTAAACAACCTATCCTCTCTCTAAAAGATCTTCAAATATGACACACACCTCCAAGACTTTTTATTTTTATCCATTTATTTATTTATTTTTAAGATTTTATTTATTTATTTGAGAGAGAGACAAAGAGCAAGTGGGGAGAGGGGCAGACGGAGAGAGAAAGGGAGAAAATCCCAAGCAGACTCTACGCTGAGCATGGAGCCCAACACAGGGCTTGATCTCACAATCCTGAGACCATGACCTGAGCCAAAAGGAATAGTCCGACACTTAACTGACTGAGCCACCCAGGCGCCCCTTCAAGACTTTTTAAAATATAAGATAAAATTTAAATA